CATGAAAGAACGGCAGCAATGATTTGTCAAATGGCAACATTAAAGGGTGGGGGGGCATAGGTGTTATATTCAGGACCGCAAGAGGGTAGGTAGCTGAGCGAGAGAGACAGGTGTACGATCAAGATTAAAGAAAACATGAATACTATTCATCTTCAGTTTTGCTGAGAGAATGAATATATTTGAAAAGACAGTTCTGGTTGGCTGTCTCTGATTATGGAAACTTTTAGTGGCTTGGTAGCAGGATAAACAATAGCGGGTGGCCATTTTCAAAGTGATTTAAGGAGGAATATTAAGAAGGTTAAAAAGCAGATAATGGTCAAAAGGAGAGGAGAGACAAGATAAGAAAACTGAGGAAGAGCTTCCTCAAAGCCCTCAGGGGCAAGGAATGGTGGGGTGGGGGGAGAGTGGGAGAACCAAGGGCAACGCTTGGCCTGGGCTGACCTAGTTGTGGCCTAGACGGGGATTATTCACTTGCAAGTAGTTTGCTAAGTGGCCACCTGAGGGCACTGTATTCTCTGCACTCAGAAATCTATTTTTTTTCCCCATCATGTACATTATCCTCAATTTGCTAAAGGATAAACTTAAGCAATACCCTAAAGAAGGGTGCCCATGGAAAATGGGGGCCCATGACAGTCCTTTCTGCCTATCTTTGTTCTTTTACTAGATTCATGTATGAGCAAGACTGACCTTAATTGAAATCCCTGGGTAACTGTAAGGATGAAATAAAATAACCTCATTTAAATCTATTTAGTGTTTAGTAGAATGTCAATAAATATTAGCTCCTTCTCATACACATACATATACAAACATAAAAATGTGCTAAATACAGGAACAAGAGAAGGAACATAAGGAGGAATTACACGAGCCCTTTATCTCTCTAAAGGGGGCAGGACTCAGAAGTCCCACAATGAATGTGCAGCTGTGCTAGGAAATCATTGCAGAGAGCAAATTTATGCTGCTCTTTTCATTACATGTTGCAGCTTGTACATAATAGCCAGAGGGAATAGAACACAAACAGCTGGGAAATAAAGATGAAAGCAAAACTGTATCAGCAGGGAGAGACACAGAACCCCCTGAGAACTCGGCAGTATCATGAAAGGTAATTTGAACAAGGTCACCTGCATGGAATTCCTCTTCTCTGAGAAAGATCGTTAGACTCCTGCCCGTTTCTGACCATCTCCAGCGGAGTCAAGGTGGGGAATGAGATAAATGGTCCCTAGCTTGCAAATTTCTACACTAAATTCCTGTCTATATAATTACATAGAGATGCAGATAAAAGCATGCCTTATTATAAAGGCCCAAAACATTACTCGATGGCTGAAAACAAAGAAATTCTGCTTTACCACAAGGAGAGCCTGTTGAGGTCCGCCCCCTCCCCCCCCCGCCCCGCCACAACCTCAGTCTTGTAAGGCAGGTTTTGTGGCCTGATGCTGCCCTCTAGTGTCTTTTTACGGTATGGTAACATGAAGAATAAAAAAATAATAATCCTGAAGCAACCAATGTCTCTTGACCCAGGCCTGATAAAACAAAAAACAAAAATAAAATTCTAAAATAAAAGTAAAACCAGGATTTGTACTAAATTCAAAAGACTTAAATTTTGCTTCAACATGGACACTGCATCCTTTCAGGGTTCTGAAACACAAATGGCATCTAGATTAGTGAGCACTCTTCAAAAATACAGACACCTGCCATTTCCAGCACATTACTGTCAAATGATTACTGCTTCAGTCTGTCTGAAGCAGGATCCAGAAACTTGCATTTCATCAACCCCACCACATGACTCTGAAGTGGTAAAGTTGGCTGACCTCACTTTGAGAAGAACTTTGTGGCAGAGACTTTGAGTAGAGTGCAAAGTAAATAGGATAATTTTTCTTTAATTCTTTAAGGGCAAAATATACATGAAATAAAACCATCGACCAAAACAGGTCACCTTTCATTTTTCCCACATTTAGAGTGCCTGAATTCTACGTGACTAGCACGCTAAGAAAACAATGCTGGTCAATTCAAAGTGAAGAGTTCCTGTAGGTGCTCTCCTACACCAATTAGCCCTAATTCCAGTGGGCATCCAGGTGGGGAAGGAGAAAATGCCTAGTTGTTTTATTCATCCTTCTGAAATCCCTTAAGCATGCCTTCCTCTAAAACTCTTCCTGGGGGCGCCTGGGTGGCTCAGTTGTGAAGCGTCTGCCTTCGGCTCAGGTCATGATCCCAGGGTCCTGGGATTGAGCCCCACTGGGCTCCCCGCTCCGCGGAAGCCTGCTTCCCCCCCTCCCACTCCCCCTGCTTGCGTTCCTTCTCTCTCTCTGTCTCTCTCTGTCAAATAAATAAAATCTTTAAAATAAATAAATAAATAAATAAAAACTCTTCCTCATGCCACCAGATTCGTTTAAATGCCCTGATGTGGCTCCAGGGAGTCTGGTTCTTCTCTGTCCTGCAAATGCCCCAACTCAATCTGCTCCATGGGACAGAAAGCTTCTCATGACAGGAACTCTTTCTTCCTTTTCAAAAATGCACTCTCCAGGGAGCCTGGGTGGCTCAGTTGGTTAAGCCTGCCTGTCCCAGGATCAGTCCTGCATTGGGCTCCCTGCTCAGCAGGGAGTCTGCTTCTTCCTCTGACCCTCCTGCTCTTGTGCACTCTCTCTCAAATAAATAATTTTTTTTTAAAAGAAATGCACTCTCCACTCTTTGCACAGAGTAAATACTCCGTATCTGGCCAATGCCTCTCACCACACACACCAAAAGTTGGTAATGATGGAAGCTAGGCGATGTGTTGCCACATGACCACGCTCTCTTCTTAAGCTCCTTCTAGTTGCTGGCACACAGAGCAAGCGTACTTCTTTGGGGTGATCATTGCCATTGGATCACACATTTAATTTGTAAGTCCACGGCTTTGGCTTTTAAGTTTTTAATTTTAGGAACTTGCTTCCACTTTTTGGCATAGTCTGATAAATTTGTAAACACATAGGAACTTTACCAGGTAGAGGGGGATAGTCATTAGTATAGAATCTCTATTCACCTGGGAAATTCACTTCAAATTTAAATAGCGGGTTTTTTTTTTTTTTAAATACAGATGCACTCAGTCAGAAGTCACTGCTTAGTATCTTAATATTACATAAAATGCAATTTTTAACTCAGTTTTAGTTTTTGCATTGTGGGTAAAGCCTTTTTACACTCGGAATCATGAAATACTCAATGTTTTAATAAAAAATCAGTTCTGAGGGTGATGTAGATTGGTAAAAGTCCCCTCCACCACCAGAAAGAAAGCTATACCATGACCTCCCACTACCCTCACTTCTATTTTTTATTGAACAATAAACAAATATTTACCTCAGGAGACAGTGTCCTAATTGTCCAATGAGATAGAACCCAGTGCCTTGCACTACTTCTCTATACCCTCACTGTGAATGTAAGTCTGTGCAGGTCACGTACTTCTACCAACCAGGAACTGCTTCTTTTCCAGCCACTTTAGTGTCCCACACAGTGTCCAGTGTCCAGGGACATTCATTTAGGCTTACTGAGGTCTCCCCCCTCCACAAACATGACACCATCTTGCTTTAGCTTTGGTGGCTGGCATGGCCAGGACACCGAATGTTAGTTACAATCTCTCCCTTTCCCTTGACAATTATCACCTGAACCCCCTGTGCAAAACAGGGGTACTCACAAAATAGGAAAATACGGAAAATGCACTCCATTTCAGTTAGGGAGAAGAAAGAGAAAGAGCTTTAGCCTGTTAAACAGCATTTCCTTTGAATTTCATTTTCCCTCCTGAGCTAAGCTATTAGCTGTGTGGACACAAACAGGATCGCTCTGAAGTTAACAAGAGGCCCACTCTGAAAGAAGGACGATAGGCATTATCACACATTTTATGTGTTGGACACATATAATCCCGGGATTGTAAATATATTCTGCAGTTACAGGACGTGAAACACTTTTCTTTCTTCTTTCACCTGATTTAGAAAGAGCATTTTTCTCTAGAAAGAGTTCTGTTGGATTTTTCTCTTTCCATTTCTCTAACTTCCCCATGCATTTACCTTTTGAATCAAAGGAAAAGATCCCATCAATATAAATCAACAGCTCTTATCAAGCAAAAATGTGCACACAATGATCCCCTCAGGGCACTGGGATGCATCAGCGTAGAGGAGCAATGGAGGGGGGCCTGCATCAGTATGGGGGGGACGGGGGTTGGGGGTAGGGGCTGTAGAGCTTGTATTCACTGTGGCAGGTGTTTTATTCCTGGGCAAGACACTCAAAGCTCATATTTCCTCTGTTCATAATAAAATGCTGATAAAACTTCATCCAATGCTTATTGCCATGTTAAATGAGATGGGATATATGGATATGTTCTTAGCCAATCACAAAGGCCCATTCAAATAGACACTTCTGTTATTTTCTCCCATTATTGACATGTTTTCTAAGCATTTGTGTTGCTCACTTGAGAAATCAATAGGGAAGGAAAAAGTCTGTTAAACTTTCTTAGCAGCTGGTGATGGAAGCATTCCAACCTGTGTGTGTTGGTGGTGGGATGCGGTGAATTCACTGCTGGAGACACAAGGGTATAGGCCAGGCTCAGACCCCATTGGTCAGAGGCTCTGTAAGTAGCCGGGAAACCTCACTAAGGAAAAAAAACTAGTAAGCTCTAGAAGAAACTCCTTAGGTATCTAGTTATCTTGACCCCAAATCGATTAAAAACCATAGGGACTAAATAAACTTGCAAAGAACGTACTTGTCTTTATAATATCAAGACTAAGAACATGTTTTGTCTTTAAATTTTAATCATGCATGCATTCTAGGAGGTTGCATTTTTTGAGCTATTAAAAATACATATGTTTCTGCCACATTAGAGGGGAAGGGAGGCTTGTGTGTTATATTAATCATGTGTTGGAAACGAAATTCTGGTCAGTCTTTGCAAATAGTATATACACATGCTCCAAAACAAAGGATCTGCCATGTGAGTGGAGCCCATGTGGGTTGGTGCCTGTTACTCTGATGCAGTGTGCACTTACTTTTGAGGTCCAAGTTCCTGGCTCCCGCGGTGATTTGTGTTGTGATTTTCGTGTCGATCTTGACAGTGTGGAGATTGCTGGTGTCCCTTGATATCATCACGTTGTGCCACTGATTGTCGTTGAGAGGCTTATTTGAGCTCCCTTTGATGAGGTTAGCACCATTTCCCAAATCAAACACATAATGTAAGTACCTGGGAAGAAAGCAAAGTTTGAGAAAGTGCCATCACTTTTTGAATTTTTGATGGAGTCCCACAAGATATTACAAATGGAGATCTTTTTTTCACTTGGTTCAGTCCCTGCTAGAAGTCAGAGTGAGTTGTACAGATGCTCAGCTAACAAGAAAGAAACAATACAATTTCATCCAGGAGGATTACTCATTGTCTGCATTACAGTAAACAGTGAGAATTATTTTTAACATCATGGTCTACAACCCACTTTACGACATTGGAAGGTCACCTTTCACTACTCATGCCCTATTTCCACCACACCCTTCAACTTTTGCCAGTTTCTTGCACCTGCTCTCCTTTTGTCTCCTTTTGAATGCCTGTTTCTTATATGGGAAATGTGCTCTCAGCCTTCAAGACTCAGCTCTGATATCCACTCCCTGCCTCATACATTTTCCTCATTTCCCTAAAGACTCTCCTGAACCTTTGCACATGACCATCTGAGGCAACTTTTCATAAGGCTTTTCTGTTATATTTATGTGTTCACCTGATTTAGTGCCTGGTACCTTCTCTGGCCCACTGCAGCTATTATAGTGGCTGACTGAATGAATGAGTACCCAAACCAATTAAAAGACATCACATTTTCCTCACTGTTTCAATGAAATTTTACAAAAAATCTTTCCTTCTAAATTCTTCAAGGAATTCTGATAAAGAATTAAGTTTGAGTTAATGGGATTTTGTGGAAGTAATCTGATTACTTAATATTAGATAATTAGCATGCATTTCTATACATTTGTAGAAACTCTTTTGTAGAATTACAGCGTGCATAGTAAGGAAACCCACATTTGAAGTGTACGATTCATGGAAGGCTTATCATTATTATAACTCGGTATTATTTGTACCTCGTATATGAAAATGTAGGTATAGAAGACTCTACTGATTTCCTATTAACTTTTAAGATATCTTCATAAGAAGTGATCTGAGCAAATACATTTTTTAAAAATTTTTTTTTCTTTAAATTTTTTATTGTTATGTTAATCACCATAAATCGTTAGTTTTTGATGTAGTGTTCCATGATTCATTGTTTGTGCATAACACCCAGTGCTCCATGCAGAACGTGCCCTCTTTAATACCCACCACCAGGCTAACCCATCCCCCCACCCCCCTCCCCTCTAGAACCCTCAGTTGAGCAAATACATTATTTAAGCCATTCCCCCACACCCCTGCCCACTGCCTTAGAAGCCAAAACATCTGTTTAATGTCTATTTTTGGATATCGAAGTCCATTTTGCAAATTTTTACTTGTCATTGAACTGACATATACTCACCCTTTAACTAATTCAACCACAATAAAGTCATTTCCATCCCCACTATTATATAGAATTAGTCCATCTAGGGATGTTGTCTTGAACTGGAAAAAAAGATGCATAGAAGTGTAGGCTTGCAATGTAGCTAAGGCAACATAGCTCGATTTGGTCTTGAAGGTGACAGGGTCTGCTATGATGTTCCTGAAGCCAAATCTGGCATTGAGCTCACAGTAATCTATGTCACCATTTTTACACAAGTCAATGTATGCCATTCCATTAAATGTCAGGCTCTGCAGGTGTCCAATGAAATTGGAGGGGACAGAAGACAGATACCGGCGTTCCGTGATGATGCCAGTCTCTATGTTATGAAACTCCAGCCTTGTGTGATCACCTGCCATTTGCCCTGAAAGGGAAGATAATGTATTATTATTATTTTTGTGTGTGAAAGAAATGCCCAACTTTAGACTTCCATGACAATATCACATTTTAAAATACAAGGATTCAAATACCCTTTGACATTCAGTTACATATAGTAAAAATATGGCAATGATATTACAGGCTGGATACTTAGTGAAACTTTCTTAGGTCAGGTTTTAATCTCTGTCCAAATTATAGCCTTAACAAAAACCACCTTCGGTAGGCCAAGTTACAGAATTTTTAAAAAAACAAAGGAAGCAAGAAATAGAGAAAAAAAAGGGAGGAAGGAAGGGAAAGAGGGAGGGAGAGAGAGAAAGGAAAAGGAGGGAAGGGAAAGAAGAAGGGGGGGAGGAAAGAAAGGAGAGGGAGGAATTAAAGGCAATGATTGTCCCAAATCATTCTTTTAAAGAAAGAGATACATCTCAGTTTGGTGAGGATTTTTTTTTTTTTTAAGATTTTATTTATTCATTTGGGACACAGAGATACAGACAGAGAGAGAGCATAAGCAGGGAGAGGGGGAGAGGGAGAGGAAGAAGCAGGCTCCCTGCTGAGCAGGGAGCCCGATGCGGGGCTCGATCCCAGAACCCTGGGATCACGACCTGAGCCGAAGGCAGATGCTTAACGATCTGAGCCACCCAGGCGCCCTGGATGTGCTTCTCTTTATAAAGAAATGCTTTCAAGAAAAAAAAAAAAAAGATTGTATATTTTCCTATACTCAATAGATAAAATGAAGGGCTTCTCACTATTCTTCCAACAATGAACCATGAAAATGTGTCTGAAGTTAAATATGCACTTTTCATCTTCCCTTTTCTGAGCTAAAAATTCCCACAGTCTTTGCTAGAAGACTCCCAGCCACTGCAGAGTTTCTGTTGATCTCTTCTGGACCCAGGCCATTTTCCTTGCACTTACGTTTTGGATACCTAAAGTGGGTCCAAGGCATGCCCAATTTTGAAAATATGAGTAAAATTAACTCACATTACCATAAAGCATTTTTTTTAAACACCCTCATATGAAGTTTGGTTGCAGATTTATATATTGACTTTTCAACTCAGTCCCCATGCCTCTGCATCCCACCAAATTACTCTGTCAACCCCAGGAAAGTCCAACATAGTCCCACCTTTACCTCTAAGGTGATTATTGTAACCTACCTATACTGTTGAAGGTAAAATATACAAAGATATGAACCTGTTTCTCAGTGTACAACATAAAGCACTCTTATTGCTAGTGATTCACACCCAGCATCTTGCTCTTCTCTAATTAAACTGTCATTTGCTTTCTTCTGAAACTCAAAAATGTCATTTAAATTACAATCAAGTTCTTCCAGGTGCTACCTTCACTACTCAATTTGGCATAATTGGAAAATTTATCAAGCTTGCCCTATCCCATCATCCATAATATTAATGAAAATATTAGAGCCAATCCCAGGATCAGCCCCTGAGAAAACGCGCTGAACCTTCCCAGGTGTAATGAAGATCGAACAACCATCTCCGTGGGCATCCCTCGACCAGTTTGACAGATTTCCATTTCCTTGTCAAGACAGTAAAATATTAGATGGCATTTTGAGGAAATGCTAGTAAGTGAAACATAAAAGGCCTACTTTTTCTTGTGCAAGAAAAACTGTCTATATACATAATTGATTTTGATGCTTATAAACTCATTGGTGTAAAAAACTCTCCCCTGAGCTGTACTTAATTCCACTTAATTTCCACACCTCTTTACTAGTCCTTGATCCTGGCAACAGCGTTTCTGCCATCCCTTGACATGTTCTCTTTTCAACTATTAGTTTTTTTTTTCTGATTCTGTCCCTGCAAATTTTTTTAATACAAAAAATATGACCGTAAATAATTGTCTCTCCTCCTCCTTCCTCCCCACAATGCCTCCTTGTCTGTCTGATGTAAAAATACTATTAAATCCCTAGCATTTCTGGTTTCTTGTATGACATCATTTTTCTCTCCTTCAGTTCTTTTGTTCAATGACCTCAATACTATTTTGTGGGGAATTACCTCATTGTTAGCAAATACAAGGAGCCTTTAAGAATTTTCAAATATCACACCAGAAACATTGAATTAATAAACTATATAGAAGAATATAAAAAACTGAAAAAATCACTTGGGCTTTTATACTTCCTTTTGTTGATTTTTTATCTGTTTCATTGTATTAAAATCTGAGCCTTAACTCAATGAACCCACCCCAAGCGTGAAACTGTCATTTTTTTTTTCTTAAAAGCTCCATTAGTGAACCAACAGATAGTAAGGAAATGCCACCCCCTAGCCCACCCCTCCCCCTAAATTTCAGATTCTTAAAATTAAATATTATCTCCAACTGTCAAGTTCTTGATAGCTCTGAAATAGGGAAGCACATTTTGTTTAGCAGGACCGAGAAGTTCAGTGATAAAAATAACAAGTGATGTCTGTTTTCTTTTCTCAAAGGAATAGGATATGCATGCAGAGCATAAATAATAAAAAGGTAGTAAAACAGTTTGGGAGCAACCATGGCCCAGTTACAAGAAAAATCATTATGGCCCATGTTCAAGAGTCTATTCTTTCTTTAATGAGCACATATAAATCACATTGACAGTAATGGCAGATATGCTTGCTCGCGAGGGAGAATTAGCACCTAAAAGCCATTATCCACCGACTAGGAAGATATTAACTGCTGCCTTCCAAACATTCTTTCCCCCCCCCCTCAGAATTTACTCCAGATTTTAATCCCCTGGCAGTAATTGTAACCACCTCTACTATTAGACACATATATTGATTATGAAAAAATAAAGGACATTAAAGGAGAAAGATTTTTTTAAGGTTCTAAGCATTTAAAAATGTAGTGTCTTCCCTAGAGATGGAGTGAAAAGAGAATCTCAAGTTAGCAAAATACCTCTGATCAAAGGGTTTGGGTATCCCAGAAGGACAATAATCTCCAACGAGAAACAACCACTGGACTGTGTGTCTGCACAGAAATCTTACCATGCAAATCAAATCTTTATACCCAAGCAGATAACACTATCACCTATTGTATGTTTAGTCTTGCTCAGAGTCAGGCTAAATTTCAGCTGCAGAACAAAATAACCCCCAGCCCTACATCAACTTGTTAATTCACTTAAAGTTATTGAGTGTGTGATGTGTACATGTGTGTCAGGTGTTGTTAGGTAATGAAGAAATAGTATAGTGAGGAGCAGACTTGGCTCCTGTATTCATAAAACTCATGGATTATTGGGGAAAGGCATACAAAAAGAGGTAAGGAAATAATAAAATATATAATGCAAAATTTAAAAAAACTTGCTATGAATTTGATAATCAGGGAGTTGTGTAAGTATGGAATGGGGGCCCGAGTTAACATTTAAGTTAAATTTGAAGGATTAAAAAGAGAAAGACATGCTGAGAACTGGAGAAGCAAAATGGGGAGGTAGATTCCAGGAAGGGGAAACAGGTGAACACAGGCTGAGGTGAAAAAAAGCTAGAAAGTGTGGCTGGAGACTCAGGATAAGTGAAATTAGTGGCTCAAGGGAAATGAGGAGGAGAGTCATGGGCCAGATAATCACGCACAGCACCTCCTGATTACATTCGTCGGCACCGGGGGAGGGGGGTTTAGGCAAGCAAAAGCCACAAATGAGAGAAAGAGAAAGAGAGAGAGTCTCAATCTCTCTGATGTATGTATAGTAAATTGGAGACAATTTAAAGTAGGATAGTTATAGCAGAAATGGAAAAAAAAAAAGACATGAAATGAGATAATTTTGCAGATATAATCTGTAGGATTTACCAATAATGTATAGATGATGGAGAGGAGGAAAATTGTAAGCAGAGTTAGGGGGTCCCCAGCAAAAGAAAAATGAGACACGGCTTTCATGACACTAGAGAGAAGTCGTTTTAGCTCTATTTGTCCAAACACACTCTCAGCAGAAATTCCTAGGAGGTGTAAGAATTACAAAGAAATGCAAAAGCATCCATAGTTAAGGATATCAAGGGGAAAAAAAAAGGGAATGCAAAAATTAACGGTCTCTACCAGGCCTGGAAATAGCCTAACCATATCAGAGACAATAAATCAGTGGTAAAAACTTGCAGTGCTGTTTCAAAAGTAAGCAAAACCCTGCATTCCTTACCTGAGATAAGGGCCCAAGACGCTATCCAGTTTATACCGGTTTTGGAGCCTGCCCAGAGCCCCTTCCCTTATCCGACAGTTACCTCTGCTTCATTATAATGTTACAGTCTCCGCCCAAGGACGAGCACGAGCTTCATTACCATAATTTACGATGCAGGTATAGGTATGCTTTCTACGTACACCTGAGCAAGCCTTTACCTGGGACGACAAAGTTCTCCTTTTTGAATATTCTTCCTAACCCTAAAGAAAAAGAACACCTCTCCTCCTGTGTAGGTAGTCACAGGCTTGGAAATTGTTCCTCGTCATCTTTTTATTTGCTGCAAATAGTTTGCTTTGTGGGACAACTCCACCTGGTGTCGTCACCATCTGTAAGTCTCCAAGGAGTGAACTCAGGTTAGCTCCATTACAGGATGATGATGCCCAGCCTGCCGGCTTGAGTAACTGCACGTATGCTAAATGTTGTTCAACAAAAGACACACTAACATACACACGTGTATAAAACACATAGTTCAGAACTTTTAGAGAGACTAAGTGATGAGTTGAAACCCAAGAAATCCCTACTTAGGGATCCCATATAGCCTGTAGAACCCTTTCCTGTCCAAGGCCTAGGGAATCCTTCCCTTAAGTTTCTTTCATGTCTCATGACCCTAGGTGAGATGCAGACATTCCCAAGAATGAATGGCCTGCGTATGCACTGTGCTGTGTTTAACACAGGCTTAACGGTACATTTAACTCTAATTTAAACATGAGGTCAAATGTAGGAAGAAATACATGAAGAGTGTCTAGTGCTTTCCTTTAAATGTTTTCCTCTTTAATGATTCCTGACTTGCTATAAAATTCAATAAAAAAATACAAAAAAGACAAAAACCAAAAAAAAAAATTAAAAAACCC